AACCATTGAAAATACTGGATATAATATTTGTAACAAGACAAAATATAAAGTTTAAAACATTTTCTTAAAACAGAACTGTGATGATGCCCCCAGACTTAGCATAAGCCACTTTTCATTTAGTCTGTTAATAATAATAATAATAATGGCATCTATATAATAAATGCCAATGTCAGTGCGTCACGCTTTTAATAATAATAATAATAATGTCATCTTATATATAAAGTACGATGTGTGTGTGTGTGTGTGTCCAAGCTACTGGTCCGATTTGAATGGTTCATAGTTCATTCAAAAGTCCAGCCGTAGCGCCTAACAAAGCACTACGGATGTTTTGCGTTTGTTTTTTTACAATGAAGATGAACAATTCCGCCAATTTTTACCATGAAAATGGACTGTTATGTTTCAAGTCACTTAGGAAAATACTACAAGAATATTTTAAATATGTTCTATCGAAAAAAATACGTGAATCGAGGAAGTTCTCGGCGAATAATTTGTACATTTTTTTCTTCAGAAAAACGCGGGAATATTCGGGGTTTCCATGAACAACAAATACATATGTTCTAAAGAAAAATCCGCAAATGTGTGAAGCCGCGAATGCTGAAACGCGGATAAGCGGGGACTCATTGCATATAGATCAAGTAACTGAACCTGGATTTTTTTTACTAGATGCGTGCTTGTTGGAGGTGGTGAGGGCTAGGTGTCGAATTAGTAAATACATATTTGTAGAGAATCTACATCAGGTGCCTGAACGTGACAGGGTATAAAAGGTTGCATAATTTTACTTCGAAGCAGATCAGCGTGAATAAATTCTATTAAAATAAAGATTAACTTTCTTTAACTGGATGAAGAGAAGAAGACACCTCAAGTAATTACGACACGAGAAAATAAAGAAACTCATTTTTATCTCAGCTCAGGGAAACCTTATCACACATTAAATACACACACACATATATATATATATATATTACTTAGTTGTATGGATGTAAGCATGTAAACCCTGGGTTTAACGCTTTTATGATCCTCAGACAAATTGTTTGAGGATCGTAAAAGCGTGAAACTAGATTTACTTACTTACATCCATACAACTATATATATATATATATATATATATATATATGTGTGTGTGCAAACTCACATCCCTACAAATAAGTATGTTAGCTCTATCACTCTTATTGAGCTCTCTCCGATAAGTACTACACATACACACACGCATATATATATATATATATATATATATATATTTGACCAGACCGAAATCAAGCCAGAGAACGGATATTTTAAGAAAGTGATCAATACACAGTTATAAAAAACTGTAGAGCGGAAAATACAATATATATATATATATATATATATACGGTTATAATAAATCTTTTTTGCACCTAAAAAATTATCGACCAGTAAGTTCGTTTGAAGTTTTTATTTACTTTATATATAAAATTCAGAGACTTCCGTTTGTCCGTCCGTCCGTCTAAAATCCTCTAAAATAGCAATACATTGACCAGTCGAAACTAAAATTGTGGAATAAGTACAAACAAGTAAGGGTTACAAAGTACAATTGGTTTTACTAAGGTGCGTAGCTTAGTACAATAAATATTCATTAATTTGTTTGGTAAAATTAAAAGTTTTATTGTTAAACATACAAAATACTCCCACTATTTTAAAAAAGTAATTTAATGATTAAAATAACAAATACTTATTTAATAAAAATGCAATTTTGTTTTTTGTATATCTTTAAGTTTTGTATACTTCTTCGATTAGTTTGCGAAGCTGAATGAAATTTTAAATTCTCGACAAAAAATGTTGTCGAGAACTTCAACAATAATAAATATTGTGAGCATTTCAACAGGCGTCAGAATATTGCAAACAAACTGTAGTGTGCGCACACACACACACACATATATATATATATATATATATTAGTCAGGACCACGTTGAACACTGATTTATGCCTAACGATTACTATGTGCATGAAGCTCAGATTTGTACTAAAGGTGTAGGAACATATATATATATATATACGTCTAGATTGAAATAGCGCATATTTTATATAAAGTCAATATTGAATTCAACTCGGAGGCCTGATGATTCCTTTAAGATGAAAGTGTCGCCTCTGAGTGTTGACTTCAATATTAACCTTTATATTTACATACGCTCTATCTCTGACATTAAACACTTTCTATAGCACATCTTAAAACTACATTTATATATATATATATATATATATATATATATATATATATATATATATATGTGTGTGTGTGTGTGTGCTTGGGAGCAACCTTTTCTTTTTAAAGATTGTAGTTGGCAGGGAAGCAAGAAATCGGAAGAGAACTCTGCTGTAATTTTTTTTTTTAATTCCCATGTCTAACAAGGACGTAGGTGATCATGGCTCTCCACAGATTCCTTTTATTTTTAATAGAATTGCTTATTCCACTACTAAAAATTAAAGATCACTTATTTTTATTTTAAATCCAAAGGGGCAGAATTCATAAGGACGGAAGAAAGTGATTGACGTTGCAGTTACATTTTTAAAGATTGTAGTTGGCAGGGAAGCAAGAATTCGGAATGGAACTCTGCTGTAATATTTTTCTGACTGCTGCATCTGGCTCGTTCAGCCTTAAAACTGTGAGAGCTAATTGCCAATCTAGTAGCACAATTAAATTCATGCAGTCGAAGCACCAAGGAAGAAAGCTCACCAGAACTATTAGCATGAAAATATTTGTAGAAAAGACAGAAGGAAGCTACACGACGGCGTTGGGAAAGTGACTGAAGTTGATATTCCAGGTCAGGATCGATTACATTATAGACCATTCTTTGAATTTTATTAAGAATTTCGAGATAGGCATGCCAGAACAGATATAGCAGCACGGACGAATAGTAGATTTTTAAATGTAGAAGAGGAATTCTGTTGAGAAGAATTCTCTGGCACGACACAGTGAACTAGCTTTCCGAGCAGCAGACCTAGCAATTGATTCAATATAATCCCTGCCCCTTCATTGGAAAACCTGAGCCCAAAAAGGTGCAGAGTGTTGCTCGCCTTTTTAGTATTCACCGTGCTGATGACAGGCAGAAAATGTTACCTGTATGGATTAAGCCAAACAAAATATTAGGAAACAATAAAATTTCGTTAGAAACAAAAAAACAGAAAAGGATTTGTTTTGTTTTACGGCATATCAACATCAATGGGTCATTTAATGCCGACAACTTTTTTTTTTCCCCTGGTAATATTTTGTTTTGTCAAACATCGATTTCTGGTAATATTTTTTTCCTCAAAAATGTATAGCTGCTAATATTATTTAAAAAAAAATGTATTTCTGGCAATAGCTTTTTTTCTCTTTAAAAATTTATCTCTCGTAATAATTTTTTTTGTTTTTACTAATTTTTTCTGTTATTAAAACCTATTTTTACACTTTCATAATACTTTTTACCTCAGTTTCGGCGTTAACTATTTGCCCATAGCTGGGACCCTAACAGGTGTTACCACACCGGGTCAGGATGGACCTGGGAACACCAGCAATTAAGATGTGGTTCCATGCACCTCAAAACTTCCTGATCAGAGGCCTTGCTGCTGGACGTAGTTTATCGTCTAACCCAGGACGGACCAAAAACAAAAAATCGGGGATAAGATTTCTGGTAGGGGTCAACAGTCATCTAGTAGAATGTTTTTTTTTTTTTGTGAGCAGTTTAGATAGGCAAACACTCTTAGAGAGATTAAGAGATTAAGAATATAACCTGCAAAACGGCGGATAAACCTTCTCATAGAGGTGAACGGTCATCTTGTACAATGGGGTAGACTGTGCCTTCATCTTTCTTTTTATGTGCCATGTCCTTTCAGGACGTAGGCGATCATGGCTCTCCACCTCCTTCTATCCCTTGCAGCCCTCAACAAGTTCCTTCCCTCTGCTTCCTCCCCAGACTACGCTCTGTCATCCACTTGCTTAAGTCCGCCAGCTATGTCACGCGTTGTTTTACCTTGTTTCTCTTACCCTCTATCCGACCTGTGAGTATCAGATTCTCCAGGCCGTCCTTCTTCATTATGTGTCCCAGAAACTTCAGCTGCCTCTTTCTGATGTTACGTATAAGCCTTCCTCTTGTTTGTAACCTATCTAAGACCTCATCGTTGCTCACACGCTCGGTTCGTGATATCCTTAGCATCGTTCTATAGTACCACATCTCTGTCGCCTCGAGTTTCTTTTAGTCGCTACCCTAAAGAAAGACAGAACAGCTCTGTATTCTTTTCTTTGTTACCAAAGAAACCCTCCTGTCTCGCATTTGCTTAGCTTTTGGAATGTGTCCTTGGCCATCCCAATACGCCTACGGATCTCAGTGTCGCACTTACGATTCTAGTGTTCCCGACCTGCAAATCGCATTTCGGGCCCATCCTTTTATTGATGACCATGTATTCTGTCTTCAGGCTTTGTCCTTTCTTTCCACTCTCCGTCGTTACCTTCTCCATAAAACCTGTGAAAGGGTATTTCTGGACGGAGGGCTTCTTAGAGTGAAGTCGGGAGGCCAGCGCAGGGGGGGGGTGCCCCAATCGAAAATAACGCCCACTTCCTGGTGATCAAGGAAAGTGTTCCATTTGGGAGCTATGGTTTATATACGAATGTGAAAGTACCAGATGATTTAAGCGTTTCATTGTCTCGGATAGATTCTGACCTTTGCTTATACCACTGAGTTGTATAGTAGAATGTCAGCCGTTCGCACGGTTCTCACTGTGTGGCAACGGGTCTTGCTGATCAATTAGAAGAGGGAAAAGTAGAGAGAGGGAGAAAAATAAAAGAAAACAGAGAGATAGAGAGTGAGAGAAAAAGAAAAAGGAAGAAAGAGAATGAGAGAGAAAGACAGTAGAAAGGCAGAACAAAGAAAATGGGGAAAGTGAGAAAGGAAAAGAGAGTGATATATATATATATATATATATATATATATGAGAGGCAGAGACAGCGAGAGAGAGTAAAAGATACAGAAAAGAAGTGAGTCAAAGTAAAGAAAGACAAAAATACATAGGGAGAACGAGAGAAAGTAAAAGAGATGAAAAGAGAGAAAGGGAGAAAGGGAGAAAGAGGGAAAGAGGGAAAAGAGAGGGAGGGAAAGAGAGAGGGGAGGAGGGAAAGAGAGAGAGGGAGGAGGGAAAGAGAGAGAGGGAGGGAGGGAAAGAGAGGGAGGGAGGGAGGGAAAGAGAGGGAGGGGAGGAGGGAAAGAGAGGGAGGGAAAGAGGGAGAGAAAGTAAAAGAGCGGGAGAGAAAGTAAAAGAGCGGGAGAGAAAGTAAAAGAAACGACAGTGAGAGACAAAAGGAAAAGTAAGAGAAAAATGAAAAGAAAGAAAGAAAGAAGGTAGGACTGGGATATGTTAGTTAGGAGAAAAAGAAAGAAAGACAGACAGACAGAAAGACAGAGAGAAAGACAGACAGACAGAAAATGGATTGAACGCATTTCGATCTAAAATTTAGACGCGCGCAATCGCCGGTTAGGAATTGACGAAATAGGCAAACGAATTAGTATCTGATAAACTACGCCAGAACCCTGTTCGAAAGAATAAAAAGCTTTCAGTGAATATTTGAAAAAGCGTACAAGAAAAGATGTAGAAGCGGTGGCGCGGCCTGGGTGGGGGGAGGTACGTTGTTATTGTGAGCTTGTTTGTAACAAAAATCTTGGAGAGAGAGAGAAATAAAATAGCAATGACAGTTGAGATTTCGGTAGGAAGAACGAGAAAGAGACCGTGTTAACGACTGCAGTAGAATGAAAAAAAATAAACGGCTGGGAGTGGGTACATAAGATAACATGACGGAAGTCTACTGCGTGTGTAATATTTAAAAGGGGATGTTTCTCCTCGGCGTCTCTTCAAAGCGTTGTCTTTGAGTAAGCTGCAACGTTTTCAGACGAACACACACGAGTACTACATTTCTTTAAAAAAAATAAGCGAAGAGGGGGAAAAAGAAGAAATCTAATTACGCTAAAGTAGCGGTGGTAGCGATTTGTGTAACTCGTGATTTATTAAACAAATACGTCAAAGAATTCATTCATTCTAATGATGAGAGAGAGAGAGAGAGAGAGAGAGAGAGAGAGAGAGAGAGAGAGAGAGAGAGAGAGAGAGAGAGAGAGAAAGAGAGAGGAGAAAAAAAAAAATTCTGGCAAAAAAAAGAAAACAATAAATGATAGTTGTATTGCATAGGCGAGGTTTCGACTTTTCTTATCACTGCTCGACTGTTGCTTCGTTGGGCTTTTGTCATTTTTCTGCGCAAACGAAATTTTTCTTACTGTAAAAGTAGGGGGAGGAGATGACTGAACAGCGAATTTATATCGCAGAGGGGAAGATGGAGAATGAGAGAAAAGAAAATAGAAAGGATAGGGGAGAGAGAGAGGGGGGATGAGAGAGAGAAAAGAGAAAAAAGGGTTGGAGAGAGAGAGAGAGAGAAAGAGAAAAAGGGTTGGAGAGAGAGAGAGAAAGAGAAAAGGGTTAGGGAGAGAGAGAGAAAAAAGGGTTGGAGAGAGAGAGAGAGAGAAAAAGGGTTGGAGAGAGAGAGAGAGAGAAAAAAGGGTTGGAGAGAAAAAGAAAAGGTGCTGAGAGAGAGAAAAGAAAAGGTGCTGAGAGAGAGAAAAAGAAAAGGTGCTGAGAGAGAGAAAAGAAAAGGTGCTGAGAGAGAGAAAAAAGAAAAGGTGCTGAGAGAGAGAAAAAGAAAGGTGCTGAGAGAGAGAAAAGAAAAGGTGCTGAGAGAGAGAAAAAGAAAAGGTGCTGAGAGAGAAAAAAAAAAGGTGCTGAGAGAGAAAAAAGAAAAGGTGCTGAGAGAGAGAAAAGAAAAGGTGCTGAGAGAGAGAAAAGAAAAGGTGCTGAGAGAGAAAAAAAAAGGTGCTGAGAGAGAGAAAAAGAAAAGGTGCTGAGAGAGAGAAAAAGAAAAGGTGCTGAGAGAGAGAAAAAGAAAAGGTGCTGAGAGAGAGAAAAAGAAAAGGTGCTGAGAGAGAGAAAAAGAAAAGGTGCTGAGAGAGAAAAGAAAAAAGGTGCTGAGAGAGAGAAAAAGAAAAGGTGCTGAGAGAGAGAAAAAAAAAAGGTGCTGAGAGAGAGAAAAAGAAAAGAGAGAGAGAAAAGAAAAGGTGCTGAGAGAGAGAAAAAGAAAAGGTGCTGAGAGAGAGAGAAAAAGAAAAGGTGCTGAGAGAGAGAGAAAAAGAAAAGGTGCTGAGAGAGAGAGAAAAAGAAAAGGTGCTGAGAGAGAGAGAGAGAGAGAGAGAAGTAGAAAGAAAGAGGGAGACAGAGAAGTAGAAAGAAAGAGGGAGACAGAGAAATAGAAAGAAAGAGGGAGACAGAGAAATAGAAAGAAAGAGGGAGACAGAGAAATAGAAAGAAAGAGGGAGACAGAGACAGAAAGAAAAAGAGAGGGAAAGAGAGAGAAAGGGAAAGAGAGAGAAAGGGAAAGAGAGAAGAAAAGAGAAAGCGAGAGAAAAGAAGAGAATGTGAAAAATAGAGAACAGAGGTAGGGAGAGAGAGAAAGAAAAAGAGAAATAAAAGAGGGAGGAAGAGTGAAGAAATGAGAGAGAGAGGAAGGAAAAAGAAAGTGAGAGGAAAAGAAATGAAAAAGAGAGAAAGGAACAGAAAGAGAAAGAAAGAAAATAGAGAAAGGAGAGAGAGAAAATAAAAGAAATGGGAGAGAAAATAAAGGAAAGGAAGAGAGATAGAAAATAAGAGAAAGTGATAAGAGAAAGTGATAAAAGAAAAGAAGGGGAGGGAGAATGAGAAAGGAAAAGAAAGTGAAGGGGAGAGAGGCACGAAAAGAGAGAGGGAAAAATGGAGGCATAGAGTGGGGGATGACAAGTCAAAAGGGAAGTTGGCGGTTTCAACAGATGGCGAGGCATAATGAGACTGAGGGAAACGAACAGACGCAAGGCAGAACAGGTTTCGGGTGGATGGACAGGGGACACGGACAGAGGGCAAGGCAGGCAGAGACGGAGACGGACACGGACTGAAGGAATGGCAGGCAGAGCGGGGACACGGGCTGAAGGAATGGCAGGCAGAGCGGGGACACGGGCTGAAGGAATGGCAGGCAGAGCAGGGACACGGGCTGAAGGAATGGCAGGCAGAGCGGGGACACGGGCTGAAGGAATGGCAGGCAGAGCGGGGACACGGGCTGAAGGAATGGCAGGCAGAGCGGGGACACGGGCTGAAGGAATGGCAGGCAGAGCGGGGACACGGGCTGAAGGAATGGGCAGAGCAGGGACACAGGGCTGAGGGACACGGGCTGAAGGAATGGCAGGCAGAGCGGGGACACGGACTGAAGGAAAGGCAAGCAATGGTGGGAAAGGACAGGAGGACAAATATTCTTGGTAAATGAATACGTAAATACATTAGTATTTTCGAAGAGTAACGCGGATTTTGTTGCATGCATTATGGTTAACCAGCTTATCTTGGAGACCATTTAGCATGGACATCTTGTTGGGAAAATTACGGTTAAGTGTCGGTGTCTAGGTGTATTTCAGGCTGTTATTGTCGACACACTCTCTCTCATATATATATATATTGATAATATTAGTGGCCAATATATATATATATATATATATATATATATATATATATATATAAATTCCCAAGAGGATAGAATCCAGGTAGAACTCAATGTCCAGGACAGAGTAAGAATACAATATAAAAGGCTCAAACACTAATATTCCATAGTTATAATTTATCATAATGGAATCGTAATTACGATCCAATTCATCAGACCTACAAATTCAAAAAGAAGAGTCCCCCCCCTCTCCAGATCCTTCGGCCTTTTTTTTCTTAGGCACTTCCCAGCAATCTTTGACTGGTACAACTATCACTTGTGTCTTCTATAACTTCCTTAGCTTCGTGACAATTACTCTTTAAAATTATTTCTAAAGAGGCCGAACTATAACGGTGGCTATAGCGTTTCAGGCTAAATCTGGGATCATCGGACGGTTTTGAACTGAAACTCAGAAATACAATGGCTTGTGAATACCAGGCGCTGTAAGCTTAGATTTGCGGGTGGCGTGATGGATAATCGCTCGGAATTGTTAATCGGAGTGCCGAGTTCCAATCCTATTCTCTCCCCAGCTATGGGTTAATTAGTAAGACTTGTATCCCTAAACCATTATTATCTCAAAAAAAAAAAAAAAAAAAAAAAAAAAAAAAAAAAAAATGCGTACAAAATATTTAGATTTTGGCATTACATAACCCATAGAGGTGTTGATATGCCGCGAAACAAAATCAACCAATCAGAAATAGAATTACATATCGGCGTTTCGAAACGTATTTCTGGTTGTTAATGTCTATATGCGCATGCGCACAAAGACACACATAAGAGAAAGAAATAGAGAGACAGAGAGAGACAAAGAAATAGAGAGACAGAGAGAGACACAAAGAAATAGAGAGACAGAGAGAGACACAAAGAAATAGAGAGACAGAGAGAGACACAAAGAAATAGAGAGACAGAGAGAGACAAAGAAATAGAGAGACAGAGAGAGACAAAGAAATAGAGAGACAGAGAGAGACAAAGAAATAGAGAGACAGAGACAAAGAGATAGTGAGCGAAAGAATTATGGGGAATGTGCAATTGGTCAATCACTTCCCCATAATTACTTGACTTTCCATGTAGCAATAAAAGGAAAAATGTCACCTCAAAGCGAAAGGGAAGGCCGACAGAGTTAGCCCTTTTAATTTTGAAGCGTTGAAACCAGTTCAAATGGGATATATACAGGCAGAATGCAATGGTATATTGCTCCTACGCCTCAAAATTTATGATACCCCCAAACCTATGATACGCCACCGACTCTACTAGAAAAACTGAAAATTTAAGTCCAAATTAGAGACCTGTCATAATAGATCATTCCATCTTAAATAAATCAATGTTTTACGCCAAATTTTAACATCAACTTGAGACTTTTCTTGTTATAAAGTCGAATGATTTTAACTCATTCAACGTCACGAATAAAAACTCAGTCAGTTATGTGTCATGCGTGATACACGCTTAGGCGATCATGTATCTTTCGATACATGACTAACGAGGCAGAATTTTTCCCGCAGTAGGTCCATTTCTTTCTGCAGTAGATCAGTTGCCATCCAAGTAAAAAGAACCCTATCCGTCCTGCTATTTACCCATAGCTGGGGGGAGAAGAAGACGATTCACATTTTTCCCAAGGGTATCAAGACACAAGTGAATATAATGGACTCGACTGGAATTCGAACTCAGCTCTCGGATTCCTCAATCAGAGCCGCTACCCATTACGCCACCGTGCCCGTAAAAGTAACTTGGAAGGTTTGAAATCAGTTGTGTTCAAATAGGCTATATGTAGTCTGGCCCAGTGCCATGGTATCATGCTACCCACCACCCCGAATCTATGATACGCTCCCCCCACTATACTAGATCGCAATTTCGATAAGGTAATGTTCATATAAAATATAAATTTTATTCTAACCTAATTATGTACAA